GACTGGAGTTCAGACGTGTGCTCTTCCGATCTGAGTTATAAGAGTTAACTTTTCTTTTGTTTAAATGCTCGCGCAGTTTGCGCAGTTCGCGCTGTTCCCCCACTTCGTCAAAAGAAAGGTCGCTCAAGATGGCTGCCATGACGTAGTTCCGTTCCCGGCTCAGCCTACCCCCACTACCGAAACCTTCTCTCCTGTGTCTTTTTACTCATTGGTATGAACTGTCTCAACTAACGCATGCGCGCTACGTTTTTGGCTTCACATATTGAAGAGAGTTGCGCTACTGTATACTGTGTCTGCGTGAATTAGTAAAAAAAAGCGTAGTTGACACAGAAACCAAGGCCGGAAAGATCGTAAAAAGAAAAAGCCTTTCTGGCAAAGGAAAACTTACTGCTAAAATGATTGACAAATTGACTGTTTACTATGGACTGGCTATTTGACGTAATCATGATTCAGTTGAGAAGATGAAAAATGCCAACTTGGGCAACTATGGGCAACTTATTATCACTACAATTCAACCGACGAGAACCCACAGCACGAGAAATGCCCGAGCGGCGAAGACTCCTGGTGCGAATGGCAAAAAGCTGCAGCTGCAAATGCTCTAGAATCATTTAAACACAGCTACACAGCCCTTCCTACTGACGTTCTGGAAGCCATGAAGCCCATTTATGAAGACTTGAGCAAGGACGCACTTTTGCAGCGATGTCTTGGAGGTTTCACGCAAAATAATAATGAGAGTCTCAATCAGCTTATTTGGAAAATCTCTCCAAAGTCAGTGAGTGGCACCTCTACAATTGTTGAAATTGCATCTAATGTAGCTGCATGTACTTTCAATGAAGGTTCTTTTGCTTTGTTGGCCTTTATGCAAGAGATGCACATCGGTATAGAGCCAAGTTCTCACGAATGGGCGCGACAAGTTGACGAATTGCGAATTAGTAGAGCAGAGGAGCAAGCGGCACACAACAGTAAAGAAGGAAGAGTTTTGCGTAGACAAATACAAAAAGATGCTCTAGATCAGCCCCCTCCGACTTAATACAAAATTGTGTACCAAAGTTGTCGCCGTTCACTAGATGGCGTTAGTAATCTTCCTGCATGCTATGGCGTGCGCGAATTTCATTCGTTCTGCTGGTTCTGCTTGTTTCGCTCATATATTATGCGCTTCACTGAATATTAAACAAGGAAAATTACACATCATATGACATATCACATTTAGCTTCTTGAGTTCTTTAATTACAATGTGTAAAATTGAATTATTTTTGCTATATTACTAATACTACAAAATTATGCAATTTACAGAGTAGTATAATTTTATAATGTTTATAATGTACATAAATGTAATATAAAATACATTTATGTAGGTACATTGTTGTATGACAAAAAATATGTAATAATAAAATTATATTTATAAATTTTGAAATTATGAATTTATTATTTAAATAATTATACATATAATTTTATTATAATTAAATATAAAAAAGATATTAGACAAAATAAAAAGAGATCATTTTATTTATATTTAAATATTTATTTTTATACTTATGTTGCTTATGTTTTACAGAATTTAGCTTGTTTTTTTAAAAACATATTACTTCGTATAGTATCTTGATTTTCTTGATTACATTTAGCAATATATTCTTGTATTCGCCTTCTTACATAATAATGTATTAATGCTGTTAATAATTCTGCACCATGAATTTCGCAGGGAAATGTTAATATATCGCTATCAATTACATCATTCATAATTTCTTCATAAACAAATTTAGATTCACAATGTTTTTGAAACAATAGCTCTATTCTATATACGAGTAAGTACATTCTTTCATGAGGTTGTATAAAATTACCATTAGTTTTTAAAGCCAATAAAGCAGTACGAGAATCCAGGTTTGATGTTTCAGTATTTATAATAGAATTTTTACACACCATGCAATTATTGTTTTCTAAAAATTTGTTGCATATAAACTCTATTGTGCAATAAATAATACAATTAAAAGTATCACACGATCCACATGACACGCTAGGCATGCAATCATTTTCAATAAGTGTTGTGTGCATAAACCAATCGTCATGCTTAACTGCATTTCTTAACTTTTCTTTTATAATATCAATCTTATTGTTAGTTGCTTTGGTAACTTGCTTCGAGTAAATTTCTTTGATTTCTGATAGTGTTATTAAAGGTTCAGAGTCTGAAGTAACTGTGCAATTTCCGGTTTTAGGAAGTTTTAAAATATTAAATGTAGAAAGAATTTTGTAAATTTGTAGAAATGTGGGTATTGAGGGATGATCATTACATCCACCAGCTTGTCTGATTATTCCAAAAAATTGCTGATGGAATAATAAAACAAGAAATACATATTATCACAAAAAATAAAATATAAGAATAGAGAGAATAGAGGGAGTAGAAACAAATATACAGGGAGTGGTATAGTTGTGCTTGTAAAAAATAGAAAACACGACATGCAAATTAAAAGTAATCATAATAAAAAATATTTTTCTCAGTTAATAAATGTTGAAGAAATATAATTAAGAAGTTCATCACACCTCCAAAGCATCCTGATTAATTTTTCCAGTTAATACATGCGAAAAACCATAATTATTTACTAAATCTTTTATCAAATCTAACGTAGAACTCAAAGTCATTCGAAGACCTTCTGCAGTATCTTTTGTCAAAAATGCCTTCTTGGGAATTAAATTTGAATCTACTTTACTTTGCCATTCATTAAGTTTGTCCAATGATGATTGTATTACCTATGAATAACATAAATATTTTAGAAAAATGGCTATAAATGTTTTAACTTTTTATACTAACAGTCACACTAGTAACACTAACTGTTTGAAACACACCTTAAAATCATGATTATCTGGTATTACACCCATATTTATATTTTTTCGATTTAAGGCATCAAATAAATCATTCATCCATTCACAAAATTGAGCAGTATTTTCGCAGTCTGCAAGCACTGAATTGCATTCTCTCCAATAACGTAATCCTTTGGCCATAGACTGACTAAGGACCTTTAAAAAATGACAAAATGCAAAACATAATATTATAAAGTAATTAAATTGAATTATTAACTTACTTGAACAGCTAAACGAACTCTCATTTTCAATGTGGTGTTAAGATGTAAATGATTAAACGTAATTTTTGGACATACTCGAAGATTTCCTAGTACAGTTTTGTCTAAATTATATACTTTATTAAAATATTCCCATTTAATAAATTTTCGTTAGGATCAAGCTAGAAATAAATATATTGTTATAAAAATAAATACTTGTAACGTTTTTTCATACAAACGATTTCTTATTGTTTTCATGAGATGTGAAGTATCCGAGAAAACATATATTTTTCGATCTGATATAAATGGATGCTCAAAATAATTTTTTAAATTATGCATTTTTGCACTTAGCCCCATCTCAGTCCAAAATTTCCGATTTGGTTTTGCACCATCACTTACAACAGCATGCACTTTTGCTCCAATTTTTTCAAGTAAAATAATGGCTTTAACTATAAGTTTT